TGGCATTTCGGGGGCGAAATCGCCCGCCGCCCCCGTGTATTTTTTCCCCTGGTGAGCATAGAGATATATCTCCTCTATAAATAAAACAAGTGATTGATTCGATTCATTCGCCAATAAACGTTTAATCTTCACTAGAGCAATACCCGTGCACAACGTGGAGAGTATCCTTAATCGAACTGCGCATGCTCACTGCCGGAATGATGCTCACTGCGCATGCTCACTGCCGGAATGATGCTCACTGCGCATGCTCACTGCCGGAATGATGCTCACTGCGCATGCTCACTGCCGGAATGATGCTCACTGCGCATGCTCACTGCTCACTCGCTTGGAATGATGGGATAGAAAATACCGGGATTATTTGCGCGAGCGTTCACACACGCAAATAATCGTGCTAATTCCAAAGCGAGCGTTCACACATGCAAATAATCGCCCTAATTCCAAATAATCGCAGTTAAAAGTGCGATTTGGAGCGCGATGCTGATCGCGATTATTAGTGAGTATTATTGCGTTCACACTTGTAATAATCTCGGTATTTCGATCGCGATGCAAAAACCGGGATTTGCATCCCGCTTATTCGCGCCAGTGTGAACGCGCCTAATGTGATTTAAACAAATTTCACAATTTCGTACCGAGTAAACTTCAAACAATAAAAGTATAACGTGTTATCACAGAAAAGAACTGTTAATGCAGCACAACGTTGGCTCGGCTGTGTACCAGATGTGTAAACACTGTAAACATCTTGTTGTGCTACTTTTGTAACTTTCAATGTTTTATTTACATTTTATGAAGAAATGTGAAAGTGGCAGTACAAATAAGTTACAGTAGTGAATTTTTGCAACATAGGCGAGCTCGCAGTATGTATTATATATATATATGCATCTAGCCGCGAGGTTTATCCACTAACTACCCTAACCCACCTAATAAGATGCTGAAGAGCTATTAAAATGGTTGATGAATTTTTTAATGTTTGATGTTTGTTTTAAAATGAAGTAGTACGTTTTTGCAAACTATGGGTTGGGTGGGGGGGGAGTACAGAGATGGAAATGAGTTCTGATTTCTGAAGTCTCCCAAGCTGGTATATACACCAAAGCCTAACCCTAATTATAGCACCAGTTGTACCCTATAGTAGAATTTGAGTGTTAATGAATTTTTCCCTAGTTGAAAATGATATACTACATCACGCGGCATGTCATATTGGCATCAATCTACCTTTTCAAGTTTGGTGGCATCATCTGGCATGGCTACCAGGGCAGTGTCAAAATACTAGGATGCTGATTTATGAAACAAATTTGTGTGATTAATAATTAATATAGGTGGAAGTCTGCATCCTATTTTCCCCACCTTATGCCATACCTGAGTGACTATATAAATTAAAAAGGACCTATCCATTTTGCTAACTTGGGGAAAAAAGTTTCAATAAATATTTTTTGTGGATCTACATGGTATTACACAAAAGTCTGGTTTCATGCCTGTGGGCACCAAAATTACATGCATATTACACGTGGTACATGCATGCAATGGTTGTTGCGTGCAAGACGTGTGTATTTCCAACAACAAAAAACCATCTGCATACACATTAATGACGAAGGTTAGATTCAGAGTCGTACTGCTAGAGTTTCTAAAATCTCTTGAGGACATGATTTCCATGGTTTACATACTGCAGTTATCTCTCTTGTGTTTGAAGATTGGTCCAAACTGAAGTGTGAGTTTGAAGTGGTCTTCACAAGTTCCCGACTTCAGCAGCAAATGGGAGAATGAGGTCAGTTTGGTTTATATTCTGTACTATGAGTTTATCAAAAAATTCCTAGCTGTAAGAAAGTCAGCACTACTAACATGTGTACATATATGTAAAAATTTATTTCAAAATTATTATGCAAATTGAAACTGATACCTGATCTAAAAATTTGGAATTTGTATCAATTTTTGATTTTTATATATTAATTTGATAATGTGTTATTATTTGTATGTAATACCTTTCTTCAGTGTGAAAAACTGGTCATTGGTAAAATTTCAATATAAAATACTAATGTAGTCACAAGTCATTCCTGCTTTTGCTAGCTAGGAAGACTACCAGCCAGCTAATAGGCCCTAGTGTATTCTGCCCATACCCAATAAGTAGACAACATGGTTGTCAAATACTTTCAAGGTGTAAGAAAGCAGCATTTATTAGCTCATCAGACGTAGTGGCATCATCTCATATGGCTAGCCAAATTTAAACTGCTCCAATAATAGCTTTTGTATTTTGGAAAGGGCATGTCCAAGCTAGAACAGAGTTTCCCTTGCATTGACACGAGCAAGGCTGTTCCCCTCGCTCAAATTCTCAGCCGCCACACAAAAATTTGTCCAAAACACTGCCCCGTTGGCGAAAATCACTGTTCTTCCAACAGTGCTTATAATGCACCAAAATAGCATAGAATGGGCCAAATTGCACCTCTTTTTTTAAATTTGTGGAGGCATGCCCCGTACCCCCTCGCTTTGCTCGGACCTCGAAATGCGCAAACACCAAAAAAAATTACCACATCACAGACCTTTTTGGCTAGGAGAAACACTGTAGAATGTAGGTGCAAATAGGAAATTTTAAATTTCCACCAAAATTTAAGGGAAAGGGCACATGTTATGTGAAATCTATACTTTTATTTTATTAGCTCATCTGACGTAGCAGGGCTCGAATTAACCGACGGCACCGACGGCAATTGCCGTCGGTGCCCCTATCAATCGCCGTACTGCCCCTGAAAATCCAACCCGACCGACGGCAGTCACCTGCCTTGCCCTTTTCTGTAATTGCCGTCGGTGCCTTTGGCTAGACTGGTTCGCGGCCGCACTGTTTGTCGCAGAGCGTGTACATTGTCTAGCAGAGCGTGAGGGCAGATTCCAGTCTACCCTTCGGCAAAAACAATAACCGTAAACGTGGCTTGCTGCCAACTACTGCCAGTAGACGATCGATAAATCATGCGCCTGTGTATGCACGTGGTAGAACACGAATATTTAAATGCTGCACGTGGACTCGGCCCGCACGCGATTTAAAGCGCGGGAAACGACGCTCGCGCAAGAATGGCCAGCTGTGATCTGTATGGTGTGTAGCTTGCTAAGTGCAGTAAATTTAGAGAAATTTTAGTAGAATTCATACGATGACACAAAGTTTTCCATAACAATGGTCTGGGTCTGGGCTAGTGAAAGTTAGGTCAGGACTAGTGGTTTTCCTCAGTTACTAGCCCGATGGTCTAGTGAAATAAAAAGTTAACGTTGAACCCTGTTACTGTACTTCCATTAGCAGAGGTTGATGTATTAATTTGTTATGAGTTTTCCTTTATTTTACAAAAGTGCCCTGGTGCCCTTCTCAAATTGTGAGAGTTGCCTTGGTGCCCATCCATTTTAGAGAAAATTCAAGGCAATTTCTCACATGCCCCCAAAAAAGTGCCTTGCCCCTCTCGTCACTTAATTCGAGGCCTGCATCTGACGTAGTCAGATGCAGCTTGTAGAATCGCATGAGCGTGCGTGCGTGCGTCTGTTCGTCCGTCAACAGTTGGTTGGGCACAAATCTTAACCGCTCGACGAACGGTAGTGATGTTCCCGATGATCGATTATAATCGAAAATCGATCGATTATAGTCTCAAATTCGATAATCGATTATGAAAACAAATAATCGATTATCGGAAATACCAAAACAAACAATCAAGGAACTGTACTCACGATGTGTGAATTGATATGACAAGTAGAGCACAGCGTTGACAGAAACACATCGTAGCTACGAGCAAACTCACGATAACAGGAACCTCATAATTTCATGTCACAAGGCTGCTGAGGCCAAAACAAAATATAGGTGACGTGTGGTTACGGTTTCCCGACCGACCCTATTTATTCCCAGCGACCCTAAACATTTTATTGTCAATTTTCTTTAAAGTAAAAAAAAAATATATGAATTGGGCAGTTCCTGCTTCAAAAGGCACAACGCACATCCGGACATGGTTCGTAAATAAAATATTTCAAGAAAATAAAATGTTTTCCCTACCTGCCTACCCTATTTTTTTCTGCATGTAACGGTAACCACACACATAATTTGTTTTGGCCTTATACAGCAGCATAGCATATTTGCAAGCGTAAGCGTAAAGGGGTGGACAGCCAGTGGGAAAAATACACGGGGGCTCGGGGCGATTTTAGCCCCGAAATGCCAAAAAGAGCCCCGGAAATTTGCATAGAGTTCAATGCAAACCAAACTTTAGAGTGCTTATTTTCATGCGCGCGAGCTTGAAAAGTAGCCCCCGAAAAATTTATTTTTTATTTTTTCTCTGGTGGACAGACTGGTTGATTTTCGAGTTTCGATTCGATTATCAAACATGTTTGATAATTATTTGAGTCGGCCGGCTGCAATCGCCTAGTGTTCCCTGGTCTGCGATTGAGCCGGCCGATTGTACAATTCATCAGCCAATCAGCGTGCTGAAAATCCACAGAGTCGCCTGGCTCAACCGCGTAGTGTGTCCGCAGAGCTCCAGACTCGGCCGGCCGGCTCGACCGCACGAAAAATCGGCCAGTGTGTTCACCCCTTTAGCGTGGCCGATCTTGATCATAAATGTGATGTGTATACATTGTATCAAGCGAACCAGACAATGCGTCTAGACAATACACCTGCAGTGTACTTGTCTGTGCATATCTGTAAATCTGTTTTCATGTTTTTACCTCCGCGCAACGGAGTTGCAGGGAGGTAATGTAATCGCTCTCGTGTGTGTAGCGCTGGCGCGATTGATTCAGCACCAGCTCGCCTTAAGGCGTCCAGTCAGCAGCAGCTCGCCTTAGGACGTCCAGCCAGCAGCAGCCAGCAGCGAGCCAGCTGTTATACACATGTATACATGTTACACGCTCGCGGAGGTATGCACTCGCTCTGAGTGCCCTCTGTCTAGTTATATAATAATTACATTGCATATTAATAATTTCCCAAATGCTATCATTGCATATTTCAAGATTTTGGATACCAACATTGTTGAAGTTACTATCCAAAAAATGGGATACCAGATTTCAATACCTGGTATCCCGAATGGATACCATAATAAAAATCAAATTTTGACCCCTTTTATGCCAGAATCCATTAAGTCTACAGCTGTCATCTGCCAGTGGTAACCCCAAAACAAAATATATGTGTGGTTACGGTACCGTTAACATGCCGAAAAAAATAGGGTAGGTAGGTAGGGAAAACATTTTATTTTCTTGAAATATTTTATTTACGAACCATGTCCGAAGGATGTGCGTTGTGTTGTATCCCCCGAACAAAGTTCGTGGGGATACTATGGGTTTGGCATCATCGCGCCGCCGCAGAGATTTCCTTGTGAACGCTCTACCGGCTGCAGTTCTTCTCGGATCACCTTCAAATTTCGCATGAAGGTGCGTTATCGTAAAGCGAAGATGCCTATTGTTTTTGGTGTGGGCGGAGTCATCGTTGCCATGGTAACAACATTTTTTGTCGAAATATTCTAGAACCTGTAACTTCTGCACTTTTTACC